GAAATACCAGGTTACCGGACGATGATATCGATAACTTGTGGCGATTCGTACAACCACAATCGTATACATGTCTATAGACATGTTTGTTGTGGGTTTCAGGTTCTTGTGAGAAAAACTTTAAAAGGCAACTAATTCGTAATTACGCCGCTGCAAAGAATTTACACCAGGAGTATAAGTTTCCGCGTTTCTAACTGAACAATTTTGCGCTTACCTATTGCATCTCGGCCCCGCTAGATGGCACCACCTATCCACCTTCCTGGGTTTTTTAGGCTTGTCACGTTTACGACTTCCGTATTCACGGTCACTCTAATCGCGGCAATTCGGATCAAACAAGCTGGTCCTAAATGAGTTTCGGATACTCCAGGAGGCTGGAGTATCCGAAAAGCCGATAACGCGAGTAGCTACGAACGAAGGCGAATTCGCGAGCTATGGCCGCAAACGTAATATGTTAAGGCCGCGTATATATTTACGTTCCGTGAAAGCAAATCTACGTTGCGTAAAGGCCCGCGCATGTGCAGATTCCATCCGGTAAGGAAGAATACGTGCAACCTGAAAGCCCCTATTATTAATTTCTGTGCTTGTTTCACATGCGAAAAGCGCGATATGATCGTAAGGCACGCCGTAGTGGATAATCCAGATTAATTTCGACCACCTGTGGTTATTTAACGTGCACCTAAGTCTATGTGCGCACGGGTGTCCCTTGCATTTCGCCCCCATCGAAATGCTACCGCCGCGGCGGGAAATCAAACCGACGCCCTCAAGCGGAGCGACACGTCACTACGGGCTCAGCTGTAATACGCGTAGGACATACTCACTCACTCACTCATATATATAACGATTCATAAAAATTGCGTACCGAAAAACAACAACGGGACAGAAAAGCGTTTCCATGTGCTCCCAGCGCTTTTAATGGAGATTTCCCATCACAGATGGTCAGCTACACGATGAATTGTGCGCAGTAGATATTCCACAGTGACATGGCTGGTTGTGATTTACACGGCATCGTTTATCTTGCCACGTAGGTGACCTCTACGCCAAAGCTCAGTTGCGTGGATGATTCATCTCGTGGAAGAAGTCATAAATAAGCTCGTGTATACGTTCAGGCAAACGTGCGATTCCAGAACGTGCAGGTGTATGCATGCAGTGCGATCAACCGGCATGCTTTCGTGCCTCTGTTCCGGTAGCGGACGAAGCGACCGGTATACCCCCGCAGTCCGGCCCACCTACGTGTTTCGGATAAGCTACGGTGACAGATTTGACAGGCAAGGCGAGAAACACAGGAACACGCAGGCACATTTATATTGTGTGTGCATATGTAGTCAGCTCCATGGAGCTTTGCAGATCTCCTGGGCTCATCGCATCATTGTCTCTGGCAGGCACGTCGCTTTGAGCAACTCACCTTTGCTGTATACTATGTAAGGAAATATATAGTGCGGCTGCAGACAAGCATTGTATATGGTCGACAATTTCGCCTATAGCGCGATGTGCCTCGGGCTCTCCAAGACGTTTCCATTGGCCCGCTGCGCGTGCTTGTTCAATGGCGTCTGTACAGCATATGATATGTAGGAGAACTTGCGTGGGAAGAAATTCCTCTTCGATGACTGGGCGCATTTTTCATCGCATGGCCCACCCTGCACGTAAACCGAGACGGCTTGTTGCTCTTCTTCTTGTTATTTTTCTCGTGTCTCCGGCGGGTGTCTCCTCGGGTGTCGGCGCAGCGAGACGCAGAGCAACGATCTCGTGCCCGTCTCGGGACGTTAGCAAGCGACATGGCCACTTGAATGCATGTAGGATGCTTGAATGCAACGTAAGCCATGGCGCAACGTAAACGACAGCGGCGCTGTTCTGTATCTATAAGACAATACGCTGAATTCGTTTTCAATAGGGAATGGTGACTTCGGTTAACCACCAGTGCAGCGGAACTGGTTCGAGCGCACGCAAACCTCTCAGGAACCTCCGATGCTGCCTCCTTTTGAGGGTGCAGTTAAATGTGCGTTATGCAAAACAATGTTGATCGCATGCTTTCTGAAAAGCTCACTGGTGAAAGTATATGTGGAAATATTGGGTGCAGCTGCTTTTTTTTTTTCCTCTAGCGAAAGCGGTAGTGCACTTCAGTATATTGGTAAATATCTTCCATGTATACACTATATCGCAGAGTTCGGTTGCCTATCACCTATATATAGGTAGCAGCAAGTGGATTGCAGGATAGAGATCCTACATTCCATACGTGCTTGTGTTAACGGAAGGAGTAACGAATGAGGAGAGAGAGCGTCGTGGGGCACCAAACGTACCGATCCACAAAGTGGTATGATGGCGCCATGAAGAGCGCGCAATATTAGCGCTCCTATACTCTGCATGCATGCAGATGCGGCTAAGTGCGCTTAAAACCTACTGGAAACCACCATACATTACTGGCGAGTACGCCATGCCTGTGACGTTACGTCTTGGTCAGACATATACGCGCTGAAAAAAAGTGACAGAAAAACAAAAGCAATGATTTCAAACGTATAGTTCAGTGGTCAAGGCTGGCTGTGCGAGTGAACACTCATTATTTTTTTTATTTTCTTGCTCGAGGCATGTATGACTACAGAGGAAATGTGGTTGTTTTACACCTATTGTTTAGCGCAAGTCGTACATATTCATGCACACCTTAGGTAATGTTAACCCAAACATCGTGCAGTAATTTTGCTCTCACCCTTCGGCCCAAAACACGTACGAGCCATTGGCTGGTGCGCGGCCCCACGCATCCATTCACGAGGATGCACGCGTTACATCGGCGTTGTCAAAGCGGGAGACGTCGTTCTTGCGTGTCGTGTCGTTACTCTCCTCGCGCTGCAAGCAGTCTGGAAATGGCGTCTCGTTTTGCGTCTCTGCGACACCCGCGTGACGTGACTTATACGCACCCGCGACGAAAGACGCCGCTCGACGGCTGACAGCCGCGCTTCACGCTGACCAGCAACTCTGCAGCAACGCGCAAAAGAAACAATGCATGTACACACGGCCGTCAGTCAGCGAAATCGAACAGTCGGTTACCGTTACGACCACGACAATGCATACTGGGCTGTATTTCGCGTCTCGACCAGTTCGAGGTCACGTGAGTTGAACAGAAACGTCACGCGTGACGTCATTTGTAGAGAGACACGTCACAACGGCAGTGGCGATGCTGGCGAAACAACGAGGACCGCGTTCGGTGTGACGGAACTACGTGCTTATACATTTTGCGCCCAAAATTCCCTAATGAAATTGGCATGCGCATGCACAAGGAACACGAAAATAAAAGATGTCTACATTTCGCTTCGAGGGGGGGGGGGGGGGATAAACAACAAGAGGGAAGGCAGGGAGGTTAACCAGGGACATGCCCGGTTTGCTACCCTATGCTGGGGAAATAGGAAGGGGGCATAAAGATGAGAAAGAGAGAGGAAAGAGAAGAGAAAGAGAGAGAGAGAAAAAAGAGGAGGATTGTCAGTCAATCGGCTGGCGCGTATGCAGCGGTGGCACTACAGTTTTTAAATAACGTGCATGCGCTGTTTTCATGACTCAACCATACCAACTCGTTCGTATGGATCTTAATGCAAAAGTTACTTGTTAATCTTTCGTCGAGTGCTGACTCGTCATATAACTCTATTTAAAGATGCGCGCTAGCTGTGTTTCGGTAAGTCGCGCCTGCTATGACTCTCTGAAGAGAGTATAATGACCTCCTAAAGAGAGTCAACGTGTTAAAAGAGAGTCAGGACTTGCGAAATGGTGTAACAGGCGATATTTCCTTTTTTTGATTGAGGGCTATTACAATAAATATACAGGTATCATAAGTGTCATTGCACGCCGGAAAGGAAGAAGGGAAGAAAGAAAGAAAAGAAAGAAGGACAGAAAGAAAGAAAGAAAGAAAGAAAGAAAGAAAGAAAGAAAGAAAGAAAGAAAGAAAGAAAGAAAGAAAGAAAGAAAGAAAGAAAGAAAGAGAGAAAGTGCTTAAGGTGATGCGAGTTGATGAGACAACGACATCGTGGTGCTGCACGTGCGCTGCCTAGCACAACATCAAATACGAGTCGTCGTGGTGCCTCAGAGGGACGACTCTGAGCGCGCAGAAGAAGGAGCAACCTGTCGCTCCGTGGGAAAAAAAGAAGAGGGCACCCAGTGGCACCCTGCGCCTCCTTGCTGTCGTTTCTCGATGCGCGAGAGCCAACGAGATCGTGGGATCTTGGAAACCTTATACTGGTCCGGGGTAGCACCTCCTTTCTTCGGATTTTGCAGACGTGCTGGCATTAAACGCACACATAGTTAAGATGGCACGTCGGCTGGTAAATAGCTAGGAAAGATGTTATCCAAGACAAATGACCGGGGTCCTACTTCGTGTTTCGCCTTGAATGAGAACGAAGGAAAGACTGGAATCGTCAAGGAGCTGGCACGAATGCAAAGTCGCGTACACTTTTCATCCCGAGATAACGTGTCCTATGCACCGTCTTGTGGACATTATTTTCGACGGAAACATTTTGCCTTTCCCGCTTGGCAGCCCTTATTCGTTTTCCCTTCTACCGGCTTGTTTTGTTTACATCGCATTGGGTTAAGGCAGGAAGATGGATACAACTGAAAGAATGATTAGAGGCGGGCCTGCAGTCGTTTTGTTGCCCTGCAGACGAACATCCAGTGTGACGCGCGCATGTACTGTGCTTGAGCGTCCGTGTCGCTATCTCACGTTTGATGGATGTCTCTTCGGAGTCTTGTTTCAGCGGGCGATGCTCTCCGTTCGGCGTTCGCGTCGTAACAAATGGCTTCTTGCGACTGTCAGCCACTCTCAGTCACTTCATAGAGCAGGTAAAGGAAATACAAACCGGGAAGGAAGGAGCTTGTTCATACTATACTGTGTGCTGTGACAGCTCGCACCTTGGACTGTTGTCTTTCGCGCTGAGTCGAGTGAAATATTGGTCGTTTTACGTGTAGAAGCAAAACGTGGTTTGTCGCATCTGTTTGGTGAGAAGTATATTGGAAATGAAAAACAAAAACAATTGTACCAAACAGGATTTATTTCCATATGAACGTCGATACAGACACAAGAAAAGCGACGGTTATTATAGATTGATACACAAGGTGTAAGTATCAAGAGAGTCACAAATTTTGCTCGCATGGAGCATGCGTAGTGTTAGTTGTAAGCGTCATGATGCACGAGCTTGACATTTCGTCATGGGAGAGTCGATTTGTGGCTGAACAGTCCGGAATCACGAAACCTGAAAAAAAAAAAAAACGTCGCACATTCACTCTCTCCACACGCAATACTATCGCTTTTCGACGACATCTGTAGATTTTTTTTAGAGGTCGTAGTAGTACTTTATTCAGTACAATACAGTGCAAGTAAAATGTTGATGTAATACAGAAGGAGGTCCCAAAGTAAAAACTGTCAGGGGGACCTCCTGTGAATTCATGTATAAAAATATAGAACAAAAGATTGGCATTACGACATTACGTCGTACCCCTGCGTTATAGTTTGAATGTAAGGCAAGGGGCTCGCTTACGTTGCGCAAGTGTCGCGAATTTGCTATCGTCATAAGACGGGTAACAGCGGAGAGCCAGTAACCGTAACTATAAGTCGTATACCCGCTGCACGATTCTCACCATTATGCCACGACTATACTACTGCCATAGACATGGTCGACGGCGACGAACCGGTCTACACGTGACGTGTGACGTTTCTGCTCAGGCCACGTGAACCCGGGCTGTCGAGGTGCAAAGAGACTCTCTCATCTTCGTGCGCAGGCTCTTTGCCGTGTGCACATTGCAATGTGCGCGTGTTGCTTTCTCGCAGCAAATCAAGTTCCAGCTGGACCTTCCCACTCGAGGCGACCTGATGGGTGGCGAACCCGGCGGCGGGACCCTGATCGCGCCCGAGAACATCAAGCGCGAGCTGCCTGACGACCTTCCACCGTCGTCGGGCCCACGCTCCCTGGGCTCCATGCAGAAGGTGCCCTCACTCTCCGACCTGTCCGAAGAGAGCTCTCTCGGTGAGTAATCCTACTCGCAAACCATAGAGTTTCTCAACATTAACTAGAGGGCACTCTGGCGCTGCGATCGTTCAGCGACCATGGGAATGATGGGTAGTACCCACATTTGCCTAGTCTTCGTACTTGCGGGTGGCGAATCGTACTTGCGGATTCATTTATTTATGTGTTTCGATTTTGTTTTGAAAGAAAAATTCAACCCTTTTGAATGTCGTGACCCAATTTGGAAAGGAAATTCGAAAAAAATAGGGTGGTGAAGCGCAATCGCTGAACATTTGCTAATACTTGTTTCGTAAGAAAACAGCTCCAAGCCACACGAACACACACGGAGCCAAAATCAGGCCACAAGTACTAATATTAGACAAATGTGTGTACTACCCATCATTCCCATGCTCGATGAAGCGCCGTGCGTTGTAGCTCCCATAGATACTAGCGCCAGAGTTCCCTCTAGTAAGTATTGTGGGAAACTCTATGTCGCAAACTACGCGCAAGTGTAAACGGGCGCGTTTGCATGACAACTGGTTCACATCCGGGTGTATCAGTGAATTGAATCCGGATGCTGCTGCTAGCGCTATCGCCGCTTCCTCAGCTTCTGTCGTATTAAGCACACGGACAGAAGCAGCCGCTTTAATTTGAGGTGAATTGGCGTTGTTGCCGGGGAGAGTGATTACGCTTATTGCATATGCTTTAGTAAACATATACTCAGTGACTCAAAGGCTGCTATATCCAACTTCGCACGTGGCATTGTGGCCCCCACAACTCTGCGTTTACTATTGCCCAGTCTCCTTACAGATGCTGAGGAAGACGCACTATCCTCCATTGCGCTGGTATGGGTGCCGGCTCACGCGGGGAACCCAGGGAACGAGGCGGCCCACCTATATGCTCGAGGATTCGTCAGCCGAGCGGTGGTACCCGCCTCTGATTTGGAAAACCCTGGTGAAGCCTTGACATCCTACCATGACATCACACAATATTACCGTCTTTCGAGGCAGACAAAACCACCCCCGCACCATAAGCTAACTAAGCGCCAGGAGGTTATCTGGCGCCGCTTGCAAACACATTCATTTCCGTGCCCATACATTTATGCACGTATATACCCCGACTCGATTGATCCGCATTGCTCGCATTGTGGCTCAATAGCCACACTTAATCACATTCTCTGGGCCTGCAGGGAAGATCCCCCCTCTTTCGATCTCCTAGCCGCTCCCTCGCCAGAGGGGTGGGAGGCAGTTCTGACCTCCACCAGCCTGGCCGTTCAGCTCCAGGCCGTACAAAGGGCAGAGGAGGTGGCCATCAGGTTCAGCCTGGCGGGTCACCTACCTCCTTAAGTCTGACGACAATAAAGTTGTGTTCTCTCTCTCTATCAGTGAATTGAGAGAGATTTATCGCGGCGGCTGATGCTGGCGGCGAAGGTGTCGCCGTCTGCGTTGAAACGATATTCCTACGTGTCGCCATTTAGCGTCCGCCTTATCTAAGATAGGTCGCTCTTCGGTTTTACGGCACTTGAAAAATATTGGGCTACTTTACGTCAATCAATGACGTACTGTGTGTATTGCTGGCGCTAGTTTACTTCTGTGGGGAACGATGGGAAACGCCTTCTGGTATCCACGCCATAATCCCGCAGCACTCCATCTGTTGCTGCTATTCTAAACTATTCCTATTCTGACTTTTCTTACTGCGCACGTGAGAGCTGCATGAGTGAGACAGCTCACTTTGATGTACCATATTAATGTGAAATGCTACAAGCCTTATCGTAAGCGACAAGTGTTTGTCAACGTCACTCGCAGGTGGTGATCACCAAATATGCGTGTAGTACACAGAGCTCCTATTAAGTTTATATGATTATGATGTGGAAATTGTGCCATAGAAGCAATTAGCAGTAGTGAATTATGGTTTAGTATGATTTAGTAATTAAACAGCAAATGGTTTATTGTGAGAACGGGGCTGTGGTGTAGCTTTTGAGAGTGTATATGGCAAAAGTGAGTCATGTGAAAGTCATAAACAGCTAATACTCCAAAACTCCATTCCCTGAGCATTAAAAGAAAAATAATTTTTAAGGTATTCGATTATGCGACCTCTAGTACGAAGCCGAAATACTATAGTCATTACAGTGAAAGCTGCTTTGTATGTCTTCGTTGACGTTGTGGAATTCATACATAAAGACCCATTATTCAGACGAGGGTGATGCAGACACCCACAGAAACGTTGGTTGTGAATGGAAGGAATCAAAGCTACCCACACATACACCGGCCCTCCTAAATCAGGCAACCAGTCTGCTTCCGGTTCTTGAACTTTGAATGTTTACACTAACTCCACGTACGCGAGATCCCCCACAGAGAGTTCCACACGTGAAAGCTGCAGCGCGTTGAAAACTTTAATGATTTTCCGCTTCGCCGCATGGAATCGTGGTGCCGTGTTGGCAACTGGTGCTGCATCGATTCTCGAAATGTGTTACGTTACGCAGAAGTGGTTGGTGGTGGGACAAGAAAGGTGGCGCTATCTTTTCCATGTCAATAAGGATCGGTGACGCAGGAAAGTGAGGGAAGGAATATAAGTGATAAAAGATGGGTGCTGTAAAATACAGTAGAGCTTCGCAGTTTTTTACTGCGAGTACTGGTTTATTCTCAAGAAAGCTTTATTACGAAGACGAGCGCAACAAAGTAAGCGACTTTTCCGAATAATCAAGGGCGTCGGTGACAAATTTATGGAGTCGACGTGCCCCCTCGTTAGCAGTTACTACGAATAGTCTTCGCAAGGAGGTGCCAGCATGGCGCGGTTGCATCATGGCGATGACACCACAGAGCTGTTATTTACACCTTGCCGTGGCAAGTTGGGGCTCAGAGCACACTTTATTTTCATTTTGGCAAAGTTAAGGAGCCCGACAACGCCAAGAAATGCTCTAGCTGTCATCGGTTTCTGACACGCTCTCGCTGTTTTGCTCTACGCGTCAAAAACGTGAATCCTGAAATAAAAAAAATAAAAAATTAGCTGATGTGGTTATGTCTTCAAGTAAACCATCTTTTTCTGGGTTTTTTTCTTGTCGTTATTTTTCTCGAGTGCACCGTTTGGAGTCCACGTCGCTAACGGCTTGAGAAAAGTGTGCAGAGCTTGCCTCGCCTGGCAAGACGAGTCAGCTTATTCACGCCATTGCAATCCTGATTATGCATAATATACCACGTCTTCTTACGTAATGCGCACTTGAGTCTGCCGAGTACTTTCACCTTCCCTTGCACACCCATCATTACATCAATACACCAATGACCGAATTAGACTTCTCTTTAAATTGGTAGTGCGAGTACCTTACTTGTTTCATGATTATTGGGCTCGACTATCGTCTACAACATCGGCATATTTAAATAACAGCGGCGCTTTCGAGAATGGTGAGCTTGTACAAACAATAAATAATACAGCTCAGAGCTATGCTATCTCATCGGTGAATTTCTTGGTCCGTATAGTGAAAGCATGAATACTACATCTCAAACCTAAGCCTAACTGTTATGCTTGTGGGAAACCCTATAGCAACTAAGAAAATAAGGAAAATCTGTGCCTCCAAGACAGACGAGCGTAAGTCGGCCCCCGTGTCCTCCTTTCCAGCTGAAACAGCAACGCGTGATCACCACCTTCTTCTCGAAACTAGCCGTTTCTTCGACAGTTGCTACAAAGAGTGCAAGAAGGCGGGAGGGAATGCGAGCAAAGGCGAGAAGAGCACCGACTCGGCACGGCGGCGACCTCTGCGTTGCATCCAGATTGCTCATTCCGGCGTCGTACGATATACACACCGCATACCACTATTGCGCGGCGCGGCGTTCGTTTTCCTCTAAGGAAAAGAAAACGTTCGAATGGCGTACGATTTGAAACCCTCGTGAAACTCGATTGGCGGTTGTGTACGATGCGCTACGTCGTGGCTGACGTCGACCCTCGATCGTGGCCTTCGGAGTAATACCCGTGTCATTCACGAGCGTGTCATCCGTTTCGCCGGCAAAGCGCTTTTCCGACCTCTCACGTTTGTTCTTAAATTCCGCGCGCACTCGGTGATTGACTGGTCGAGTGGTTTCTACGCTAAGCCTAATAACGTTTGTTTTAGGGGCGATGCTCCTTAGGGCGTGGGCTGTGCGTCCCCTCTATGTAGCCACCTCTAGTTTAGTTCTTGCAGTGTTCACTAGATGGCGGTACCGTCCCCTGTATGTAGCCACCTCTAGTTTAGTTCTTGCAGTGTTCACTAGATGGCGGTACCGTCTCCTGTATGTAGCCACCTCTCGTTTAGTTCTTGTAGTGTTTACTAGATGGTGGTACTTGTAGCTGATGATGAAAAGATTAAAGATGTTATAAACTAGAAAGCGGTACTTGTAGTTGATGAAAGACGCGAGATCTTATAAAATAGGAATGATGTCACATATGGCGCGTGTCATTGGTTGAAGGCCATCGTTCGATTTAGTGCGGCGACGTACGCTAGGGGAGCGATGTAATAAAATCGAGTGGGCGAAATGTACAGAGGATTCATGGTTTACCAGGTTTACCTCCGGAGCTTCGCCCACTCATCATCATTCACTTCGTGGATATGGCGGAATTTTTTGGGTTAGATGGTGCATAGCTGAACTTCACTCGGAGAAAGCGCGCTTTTCAGTGTCTTACGTCTTCCGCGCCTTCTTCTTCGCTCCTCTATGAACATTTGCGCCATCAATTCAAGTTCAGTCACGCTAAGCTACATACCCGCACGCTTTTTATGATCACAAACAGGAGCGATGACCGCGAAGCGATGACGTTACAAGCACTGATGAAGGCGCAGTTTTCGTTATTAATAGCCACCAGTTATCGCTATTCCTAATGGATTGTATGACCCTATGACGCCGTTTTCTTTGGTAGCGATAACGAGTTTCTGGAACCAGTTTGCCTTTAGTTACAAATAAGGGGAGAGATATAAACGCTTGCAAGTGTATCTGTAGGGTACTGTTTCAGTGAGTATTTACAATATCAAACGATCGTTGCTTTTGCTGTGCAATTACGTGCACATAATTGAGGTCAAAAACCCGTAATTGTCGTCACCTTTCTCAATACGTGTAATCCGCTTCGTAACACAGAGACAAATAGACAGCTCCGATGGTGGTCACTATCGATCATACGGAAACGGTGGGCGTATCGAATTTGGTTCTTCTTGATCGCTGGTTGAGACTTAACGAGCTCGTGTTTGATAATCTTTCGGTCGGCAGCCACGTAGTTCATCGTCGATTATTCTCTCTTTTTTTTTCTCTTTATTTTACGCTCGTGTAACATCGTTAGGTGATCTATTACTCGTAGCTTTCATCGTATTGATCATTTAGAGCGGCTACATATCAACCAAGGCTAGTCCCGTGCATTGATTTGTATGCAGTTACTCAACCACGCCAACGTTTTCTTTTCTGAGTGCTCTCAGAAGTAGTAACGATGTATTTTCGAACATCAGTGCGCACTCCTAGATTGATCGAAACAAAACGTATACGAAACCCGTCTGTCCAGTTCTAGATGTCTCTAGAGAACGTTGTCCACGTATAGTACAATGTATACTGATTAACACAGTTTTAGAAAACGGAGAAAGTTAGGAATATAATTTTTTTGTGGTTGGTCAGAGAATTCGTAACCACTTCGGTGGTTACGAATTGGTACAAATGGTACAAGTGGTACAAATGTCGCTGGATCAAATCCTGACCGTGGCGGCCGCATTTTGCCGGAGGCAGTATTATGAGTGCCCGTGTACTTAAATTTGGGTGAATGTTTAAAAAAAACCCTAAGGTATAAAAGTTTTAGCATTCCTTCACTTCAGGGAGGAAGCAACAAAAAGGAGAAGGCAGGGAGGTTAACCAGAACGACATCCGGTTGGATACCCTACACTTGGGGATTAGGGAAGGGGACAAGAACGATGAGAAAGAGGGAAGAGAGGGAAAAGAAAAAAAAGGAGTGACTTACAGTAATTTCACTGTAGCGTGTAGAGCTCCACTGCGTGTCAGAGGCGTTCACACAAGCCTGTCTTTCTCGGGAAACACAGCAGGGCTTCACTTCAGCGTCTCTCATATTCATATCATGCTTGTGTGACTTAGAAACCCAAGCAATTATTAAATATAGAATGCAGAACGCGCTGCTAGCTTTAAGATTATGAACGTAAAAACGACGACGAAACAATAGTTCCTGCGGACGTAACGTTGCCTGTAGGCCTTGCGTGATAGGACTAGGTGAAAGGTCAAAGAAAAAGTGGAAACAACGAGACCACTGACAGAACAAGCATGATATTAGCGCGAGAAATAAGGCGTTCTTCATCGGCGAGCAAACAAGTATTGAGACGTGTACTGCCTTCGTAACACACTGCGAGCCGCTATACAGCGGAGAAGACAAAACGCGCAGACATGCACAGTATAGGAAAACATGCGAGCCATAGCCGGATTGCCTTGTGCGCGAAGGGCAGCCAGCGAATCACCCTTCGGGAAGAATATAATGCGCGTCGCTTGCTGCTCAAGCGCGAGGAGGAGTTGAGTGGACAGAGAGCTCTCTCTCTCTCTCTCTCTCTCTCTCTCTCTCTCTCTCTCTCTCTCTCTCTCTCTCTCTCTCTCATAGCGCTGCCTTGAACGGTTCTCTTTCCCAATCCAACTTCACTACCACATAAGCTATCTTCACTCATACGGGAGGCATAACCGTTAATTGGCGAGCTGGATGTTTGAGGAAATGAATGTCGCGTTTTCGAGCTTTATAACACTCGCGCAAGCGACAGTCATCTGCTAGGCTTTTACGTAAGCGTGCAAAGGACGCTGATGTAAAATTTCATGTTGCGCGCTATTAACTTGGCAGGCTACGTTAAGTGTTGCTTATAAGTGGGCGATCTGCTATACGGATTCGTAATCGTGGCACGGCACCACGATTTAAAGAAAATAATGGAGGTGTTTCTGTTTCTTCAGTTTCTCTGTGATGAAGGCGGTATAACTGCTTGCATTACTGCACGAAAATATAGAGAAAAACGAGCTCAAAAACAATAATCGTTGACTTGTATAGAGCGGTGTATTTTTTTCATAAGTTTTGCGGGTTGAATACTTATGTGGTCGTCTATGTATGTATTTGACCGCATCTTAAACTACCCCCTGCTTAAGCATATCATTAGTTTACACCTGCAACCGTGTGGGCTGTATTTTGCGATACGATGAACTACAGTACAGCAGCCACTCTCTCCTTTATGAAGCTTATGAAGGTTTGAGGATAGCCTGGCATTCAATTTTTAGACGCTATCAAGCTTGAGACGATCTATACTTGAAGTGGTGCTTGGTTCTGTAACGTCAGGCGGATTTACTCTCACTCTGTCTCTTTCTCTATCTTTAAAACTCCCCCATTTTTCCCCAGTATGATACGACATGTGATATGTAAGGTTTAACGTCCCAAAACCCCCATATGATTATGAGAGACGCCGTAGTGGGGGCTCCGGAAATTTCGACCACCTGGGGATCTTTAACGTGCACCCAAATCTGAGCACACGGGTCTACGAAATTTCCGCCTCCATCGAAAATGCAGCCGCCACAGCCGGGATTCGATCCCGCGACCTGCGGGTCAGCAGCCAAGTACCTTAGCCGCTAGACCACCGCGGCGTTCCCAGGTTTGCGGTATCATACCAATCCTTCTAGACTTGTTTGCAACCCTACATTCCCTTTGTATTCTGTTCCTTCCTTGGTGTTCTTATCATTTTCTTTGCGTGTACTGGATGTCATTTTATCTGGAATTTCTACTCAAGAACGAACAAACGGTGTCATAAACTGCTAAATAGGCTGTTTTAGAATTTATCAATAGCACTGGACTAGATACTAGACTGTAGGGTACAATGCTAAGTGGCTACTGTACATACGCACCACCTAATCTTGTCCCCATCATCATCCCTCTTTCTAAGCTCAGGCCAACCTCTTTGCCTTCTATAATAAATTCTCACTCACACACTCTACTCAAGAAGAAGTCGAGACGAAGGAGGGTCACGTCCTGTTCTGATATCGAGGATTACAGAGTTCTGTCTAAAAAAAAAAGTGTAGTTGCGACATTTGTACGCAAGCTCGTGTACGCGACAGCCTATCTCAACAGCGTATACACTGTTGAGATAATAATAGCGCCCCCGACGCTTGAAGCTTTAAGTCATGCTCCCAGAGCTGGGAATGTCACACATGCTCAGAGATGGACACACTCGGAAGATACCCGTTTTATTCATGTGTGTTGAGCCCATGAGGGCCTTCGGTCGGCGCAAATGACAGACATTCCGTGGGGCAGTGACATGCCTATAATATAAGCCGCTTGGTCACCGAGCCACACTGTTGGCAGCCTGCCGGGTTTTTTCGCACTTCATCAGTGTGCGTCCAATTTGTAGTTGCTTTTTTAAGAGATCTTAATTAGTATTTGTATATATTATTCCTTTTATTTTTATTTTATTTTATTCCTAATTTTTAACGTCTTACAAGCGTCCTTGCTTATACACGTCACTTGCACCAGGACGCGCCCGTTCAGCCGCTAGAATGTATTGAAACGTTTTACTGCAGTTCCATTTTTGTTCTTCTTTTTGTCGCATTATTTACGTGACTTAATTTACTTTCCCGATCCTTCCTCGAAACTGCTTCACGAGGTTATTCCCATCTATTCCCCAGGAACGTGTCGGAATTCTGTGTATTTCCCCTAATTTCACGCACCACCTTTTGCTATCCTCAAGGGTACGAGTTCGATTCCCGACTTGAGATTTGAAATTAGATATCTGATTTGAAACACAAAGCAAAATCGAAAGGCTACATAGTATGACGAAGGCTTTTGCTCTGAAATACAGTCTGGTACGAAGAAAATATGTCATACGCAACTGAGACGCAAATAGAGAACATCATTTTATACATACACCCTCTTCGCCGGCCGTGTTTCGTTTGAAGTGAAATGAGCAGACAACTCGCGTGCTAGAAAATAAAGTTTATCCAATAAATAAAGTTTATCCAATCCAATCGCGTGCTAGACTCACACTAAAGAACCCCTTGCGGCTCAAGTTAATCCGCTATCTTCCAATATGGCGTACTTCATAATGATAACGCGATTCTAACACGCAAAAGTGTAGTTATTATTATTATTATTATTATTATTATTATTATTATTATTATTATTATTATTATTATTATTATTATTATTATTATTATTATATACCGCTGTTACACACAGCCTACGGCGACAATGCAGCACCACAGCTTCCACACCGAGTTGGATTCTGACCCGGTGGTCTGGTGGACATGGTGCTCGAATGCTGGCTGTGGCAGCTGGATTTCGACCGTGAGGCGACGTGGTACAGGCCCACGCAATTAGATTTACGTGCGCGTTAAAAACATCGGTTCGTCAAAATTCCCGGAACGGTCCACTACGGCGTCCCTCACAATGACATCACGCTTTTGGGACGTAAGACGCCAACAGTTACCCTCGTATTCACAAACGCTCCTTCACTCACAAAACTCTCCTCGACTTAAAAAGGTCGATGGGAGCGCCATCTCTTGGCAGACCATGTCACTGCATATCGGCAATATTCTGCAGCGATTCTTGAGAAGCGCAGCGTCAATTTCGGTCGAGCAGTGGCGCAGTGCTCAACTCAGTCAACTGAAGGATGAAATTCGAGTCGAGGAGCGTTTTTGAATACGGGGGTTAATGTTACAAGTTGAAAGCCCCGCCGCGGTGGTCTAGTGGCTAAGGTACTCGGCTGCTGACCCGCAGGTCGCGGGATCAAATCCCGGCGTCGGCGGCTGCATTTCCGATGGAGGCGGAAATGTTGTAGGCCCGTGTGCTCAGAATTAGGTGCACGTTAAAGAACCCCAGGTGGTCAAAATTTCTGGAGCCCTCCACTACGACGTCTCTCATAATCATATAATGGTTTTGGGACGTTAAACCCCACAAATCAATCAATCAATGTTACAAGTTGAAAGAATCACGGCCGCAACTGGCGCGATTTCGCTCTTGGAAAAGGTCGCGCTGCGCGGGCGCTCTTCCACAGATGCGCGAACGGGCGCACGCACATGCTGCGAAAAGCGAGGCACGGGAAAAGCTGCACGGGTTCGGAATTTTAAGGCGATGCCCTCGGCTGCAGGGGACAGCCGTCGCCCTTGTGCGTGAGTGTGGCGCGCCGCGAAACCGACGACTTCAAGAGCATATAGCGCGAGAGGAGCAGCATGCGGCATCGGGACGTGCCAGCCAGTTAGTTGCACAACGGTTCGGCGGCTCGCTTGCTGACTCGCGCGCTACGATGGAGGCCTTGGGAGGAGCTTGTCTTTCGCCGCTAAAGCACGTCGTAATATACGAAAGTGCATGGGCGTGCAGCGCTGAGGATCTCTTTTCTCGGGCTCTTTTTAGCTGAGCTTGCATTTCAGTTTGGCCCTTGCGTGAAGTGTAACAAAGCGAGGCGGAGGCTGCGAGGGAAGGGTGACATTGCGCGCGGAGTAGTTCCAGCTAGCGAAAATGAGCAGTGCAGCGGGACCTGCTAACAGTTACATCAGCGGAATGCCTTGAAGAGGATTTGGAACGAAACACTTTTTATAGTCTTCAGGACAGTACAAAGTCGATTGACGCATTCTTTTAGCGCTTGTGCACATTATAGGGCACATTATAGTGCACATTATAGTGCACATTAAGTGCACATTGTAGTCCACTCGCTCCATAGTACCATCAACAATCTTTCGTAAGAACATTGCGTCACAATATGCAAGGTATAGGAGCGATTTGTTCTTTGCCCTCCTACTCCTCTTGTGCGTGGACATCGCATAGTTGATGTGGGGACTTCCAACGCGCATGGTCGAAAACGGCATTTGGCGGAATACCAAAACAAAGGGGTAGAAAGACTCCGGCCATTTTGTACATTGTTATATTGGATCAGTGGGACAGACAGTTGGGTTACTCGCATTTCAACCAAGCCAATGTCATCTGCGTGTTCGTCATTATTTGCCCTGATTGGGCTTTGTTACTATAAGGAAATTAGACCATCTTACCAACATTACGTCGCCTATGTAGAAACAGAATTCTTCTCTATACAACAGTACATATATTTCAAGGAACTCGCGCAACGCTGCTAGTTGGCTTTTTCAGTATTCCAAGACCTTTGACGGAGCCCGGCTATAGTGAACTAGATAGGGGCCGCGGCGGCCATTTCATGGAAATGTTGCCGCCTCGCGCCAGACTCTTATCGGCAGCGCAGATTTGCCTCTCGTCTGTATCGGTGACGCCCTCTCAGCGCGCGCCGCAGACTTTGCCCTCCTCGCTCCGCGCCTGGTTTTCTCCGCCCGGCTGACTCGGCTTCGTCGAGTGGTCGTGCAAGCTCCGTGTTTATTCGGCACGCGATG